ACCAATGAGTTATATCGAGAGGAGGAGAAACACACCGTACATGAATGGGCTTGGACAAAGAACTGCTTATTCTTTTCTTGTTTCTCTTTTTCCTGGCATGAGTTTTTCTATGCCTGAGTTTGGAAAGAAACAAAAATCTGGGAGGGAGGGGGGAGAAATAACGATAGATGTCATCATGAAGGCAAGTGGAATTTCTATATTTTTGGTGTTTCCTGTTCTGATATACGTTCGATTTCTTGGGTGTACGGGGGACCTTGAAGCTGGTGCTGGGGATGGTGTGGAGTGTCTGAACAAATCGATTTCCTTTTCGTTCAGTGCTATTGATGGATCACTGACGTAGGTGCCGTACTTCCCTGATGCCATGTTAACGCTTCTATGATTTCGCACTTGTTCCTGTCTTTTGATTTATCCAAGGCTGAGGTAGTTCCAAATAGTGCTTCGCAGTTGCATCTTGCACAATGCGCTGCCAGGTTCCTGGGTGCTTGCTATTGCCCGCATGCCTATTTATGCTCTAGGAGTCTCTCATTTAGGTACCTCCCCGTCTGCCCAATGTATGAATTGCCACACGCCAATAATATTTTATAGACGAGCCCTTCTACGCATTTGACGAACTTGCTTTTGTGTTGGTATACCCGACAGGATTTACCCGTTGTGTTGCCTTCCTCTTTGTTTACTTTTTCGGACACTCATTTTACCTTCAAGGGGGTGGATAGGGCCCCATTGACCTCGTGTGTTTCGGCGATTGTTTTCAGCCTGTGCGAAAATTTGTGCATGTATGGCATCACTACCACTGCTTTTTGTCCGAGTCCTTTTCCCTGGTTTTGCGATTGCCTGTGAGTGGTGTTATTCATTCTTCTGCCCCAGCTACCAGCAGTGGTTCTGGATAGTCGCTTGCCTGTAGTCGGGTGATTTGCCTTTGTAGGGCTTCTGACAACCTATAATGACACGATTTCTTTATGGGCTGCCACACGCACGCTGAGGCGACGCTCCTCTTCACCAACTTAAGTGTGCCCTGAGTCGTAAGGCAGTACGTCTTTCTCCCCTCTGGTTTTGTACATCCAGCATGTATGTTTCTCTCCAAATGCCATTTCGATGTCTAAGAACTGCACTCTGCGTCTCTCTGATAGCTCAAATGTGAACTGCATGGCCTTTTTGCACACGATGTTTGTAACTTTGTTCATGGGGAAACACACAAGAAAGTCGTCCACGTATCTGAAGCACCTTGTAACTCCGATCTATCAGAAAAAAAGGCCCTAAATCTTTTTTGCCTCTTACAAGGTATATGTCACATAAGGCTGGCGCAATGCCTGAACCTATGCAAATGCCTTCTTCTTGCGTGTAAACTCTTCAATCAAACATGACGTGCAGGGAGCTTAAATAGGGGGGCAGGAGATCGAGGAAATTCGATGTACTGATCCCACTCTGGTTTTGGAATTTCATGCTACCGTGGACGTCTATGCACTCTTCCACAGCCTCTAGGGCTCCTTCCTGTGGCACGTTATAGTTCATGTCCTTGACATCTACCGAAAAAGCATTGATGGGTTGTGTTTCGTTCAGGAATTCCACCACCTCATCTGAGTCGCGTTCCAGGGACGGATCATCGTTTTGTAGTAGTGACAAGTGTTTCTCTAGTTCTCTTGCAATCACATGTCGCCAAGTGCCTTTGTCTTCTACTATTGCCCAGAATGGACTGCCTTCATTGTGCGTTTTGAGTTCAAAAGAAAAGGTTCAGGCATTGTTCTCGGCTGCCTTTGACTTCCTTCCGTATATTTGTGATGTCTAGTTCTTCACACTGTCGTGCCAATTGTGCTCTGGTGTTCTACATACATCTTTCTTGGAAAAATTATCGTTCTTCAAAGCTTTTTTTTTTTTTTAGCATGGATTCGTTGATTTTGTGCTAAGATGACGAACTCCCCTGTCTTGTCTGCAAGCAGGGGGCTGCAGTTGTTTCTCCCAAGCCAAAGTACCGTGCGGTTGGTGCTCAAGCGTGGTTCCCTGTCTGTTTTTAGTCTGTTGGAAACGCCTTTGTTGCCGGCTGCTATGCATGCGTTTCTCTCTTCTTCGGAAACCTTCCTCGCAACGTCATGCACCATACCGATCATCTCCATGTTCACGTAAGTCATTGTTTTCCTTTCATTCTCTGGTCACGCGTATGTTCTGTAGAACTTCACAGCGCAGCACCTGTAGCTGCGCGCACTGAGTTTGGTCCGCGTCGCTGTATCTACATGTGTCCGCCAAAAATAATGTTTTGTTTTATAATACTTGTTGTCTCATATATAAAGCATCGTTTCTTTTGACAAATGTACGCCCTGACAGAAGCCTTCCGTGTCTTTAACTGCAACAAATTCATTTACAATAAAAACTCCACATGGACAGCAGCGTAGCTCGCCGGCATTGTGACCCGCCGATTCTGCGCCGACGACCGCTAGGTGGCGATGAACAATGGGCGACAGGCGCGACGCCGCCGGGTCTCTTCCTTCCGCTCTTTCTAAAAATACGTGTCTGTTGTTATGAGCTGAAAAGAACGTGTGTGGTCTATTCGCTTAGCCTTGCCGCTTAATCCAGAGTATCGCCAGTAGAAAATTCCATGGTCGCATTCAGATGCATGCTCCAACATCCTGACCCAAGGAATCTCTTAAAAAAATTTCTCCTGCTACGATTTCTTACATTATAGCCTCTCACAGCTTAAATTTCGATGGGTGTGGCTTATCATGTTCACGCTCTTTGCTTCGTTATACGTCTTTCGGCGTTCTTATCGGCAGTAGGGTACCTATTGGCTGCGTAGCAACAACAAAATGTTCGGGACTCGCCCGACCCTTTGATCAGAGTCGAGTAGTTTTTCAAAGCGAGAGCGTTAAGTAGCTCGGGTCCTGAGAAGCCGGCGTCGACGTTGTCGTCGGTGTCATAGGTATGGAAAAATCCTGGTTGGTCGATAAGGTCATGACGTCAAATCACATGACCTCACGCGGCAATTTCAAGCAATTCACAACGCTCACTTGAGACGTGACGTCACGCGTAGAATGAAAGTGAATAAAACTTTCGCTGCTAAATTTAGCGGAAAAATATCCGGCTAAAAATTGCGCTAAAATGTCTGGCTAAATTTCGCAGAACAAATTTACCCGCTAAATTTAGCGTGAAAATTTCCCCGCTAACTTTAGCAGGGAAACGTCCATATAATTCAACACGCGCAGTTACGCAGAAGCCGACGGCGACGCCACTGAACCCAGAAACGGGCGCCTAGAAGCTCCGCTCTAAAAAATGACATGTAATGCGAGTTAGAGGTCGCCGCATGTCTCAAATGGTTTCACTTTATAAAGTAATTACTTTGCCTTAAAGAAAGCATGTGAATAATTTTTGGCGGGATACAAATCCACGACCCTTCGGTTACGAGCCAGACAATCAACTAACTAAACCACGCCGACTCTTTTTCTTTCTTTTTTTTTATTGCAACTAGGTTACGCCTTTTGCGTTCCACTTTTAAAGGCAAATCTTAAGCGTCCTACTGCAATTGTTTTCAGGAAATGCACCGGTTCAGCAAAAGGTGGCACAAACGCCATATAGACCATACGTATGAACCAGTGGATTACTGATTTTGTATTACTGATTATCAATAATTATGTCAACTAAACTCACTTCTACGTTCAAGATTAAAACGCTTCTTGTTGAAAGGTGTCGTTGAAATTATTCAAGAACTATTTAGGGTTTGTTCAATATATTGAATGTGTTTTTAGGCAGGGTATGATGACAAACGATGACTGCTTTTTTTTTCTTCTTCTTTTTCCTCGGAAATATTAAACTGAATAATTCCCGATCACTGATTTCGTCTGGTGTAGAATCAGCAGTGTTAAGAAACACACACAAAATTAAGACCTATCTTTACCTGATCTGACGCCAGAATACATTTACTTAAATAGTGAATGAATAGCTGGCGTGAATTGAGGCTTCGTATACTGGGGCAATGATCACGTATACTGCCAAAAAATGAACCCCATTTTCTCTTTTAATAACATCTCAGAGATGGCTTTTATTATCTGAAGCAGAAAAGGTTGAGTACGTTTTCTTCTTGCATATCTTTCTTTTTAATTGAACTAAATTTTACAAAACAAGCTCTAAAACGGCATTTTTTTTTTAAATTCTACATTCACTTACACACTTGAACACAATTCTAGCTTGCTACTTTCAGTCTCCCACTTTCGAGGACCACATTAAATGGCAAGCTTTCCCCTAATGCTCGCAATAAATAAATGATTTTAGGTTAGTTTGCGTCACCAAGCCCTTAATCGCAGTGCAACACAGGAGGCAACTACCGCGAATCTGCCGCTCAAATGTAAATAAGCAGTTGGTTTCTAAAATGGCCTAATATGCTTTAAAATTGCGTCACGATGTCTGTCTTCTTTGTTAATTAAATGGCGTTTGTATAAAATATGATCACGTATCGGTACTCACATAGCTAAGATACGTTTCTATAAAAGCGAAACTAATCAAAATAAAATATTCTAATGAGATCATGGCACGGAATTTCCTAAATGATGCTTATTTATGTTTCGATATCCAACACAAAGAGGGTTTCTTCATTGGCGCCTAATTATAATAAACATTCCAAATGTTACTAATTTTATTTGACCAGCTGGTATTGCGACCGTTTCCTATCCGTTTCAGGTGGTGTTAAAAATACAAGAATCTCTTAAAAGGTCGGAGCATTTCTTTAAAGCGACAGTGACATGTGTCCTGACGCGGCATTTAGCGTGTGCAGATGACACTCGTGGAAATGTCGGCTTAACTTCTTGACACACATTTCATGTTGAATATGTCTCAAACAATGGAACTGCTACACAATAGCGATGAGAATAAGTCTACATGCTAGGGCTGTATAAGCTCCGGGTTAGCATAAAACAAATCTACCAAACATTTTAAAACTGGCCTGGTTTTTTGTGGCTATATAACGTTCGAATGCAGTGGGCATAAGGACTGGCAACTTCGTTGAGAGAAATACACGTACTATGTGGTTCACGGGGATCACGCTCCTGTTGGGTGAGTTTTGAAATAACTTAGACAATTTCATTGCCAGTATTGTTAAGCGGTATTGTGTGTATTACGCTCAACTTACTTTGTAATGAAGATTTGCAAACTTACTCCGTTTAGTAAAGCTCGTGTTTCGTTATTTAAAGAATTAAGAGGGACATATCCGATTCTTACTACGTACCTTCTGGACAGTGGATACATTTAGTAAATTAGAGCTAACTGATATTTGTCTCAGTTTCAGAGCTGCCCGTGCTAGGGGTAAATAACGGAATATAAGTTATTAAACTAAATCATGAAGCTGTACATTTGAAACATCCGATGCATTTACCTCTTGTTGATATCATTTCAAAAACTACCATATACACCAAACATATTGCATTGAGACGAAGTGTGCTAAGCACATCACCAAGGAAAAAGCGAGTGGGCAGCAAATTGTCTTGTTGATTTTTTTTCCTATTCATGTGCTGAAAAATAACATATGTTTTGAATAAGGTTGAAGTTAAATAAGTGGATTATTGCACAAATCCCCTTGACATGCATAAAACGTGTTCCTGAAAAAAGAGACATCTTTCTACGATTGCACAAGCGTTTAAGAAAAATATCTACCTCTTTCTTTCTTTTTCTTTTCATTCAGGCCCCTTTGAAACACTTGGTCACATAGTAAAATTTAAAGATACACATCGTCAATCCTTTGCAAAACTTCGCATATGGTTTTTACTGTCGCTCTAATTTCCATTTAACATTCACTGAGTCTGCTGGGTAAAAAATATAAGTACACAATATTGATTATTGTTTTGCAAATTGTGTATCTGTTAAAAAGGTGTAAACCCTCTCACGTAGAACTGCAATATATCAACCGATTGCGTTCGGCGAAGGTATTCTTGCCACGATGTATGCATAATTAAACTAAATTTATATGACTGCATTAATAATCCATAGTTTGTTCGAGATGTAAAATAATAAAAAGAACCGTGTATCCGAAACCCAGAACGCCTCACAGCATCGCAGTAGCGGAAGTAGCTACTCTGTTTGCCCAGTGCCTGAATTTCTGCCCCTTGTTAGTAAACTGTAAGGCTCTTTACGAAAGACCACATCCGTGTCATGTTAGTTGTCTTGGTGAAAGTGAGGAAGCGATTAATCTGTGAATCTTGTTTTATTTATTTACTATTACATCAATAAACAGGATTAATAGGGGAAAGACGATAGGAGTTCAGCACATATTTGATACGTTACTTTAGTTTAATTGTTTTTGTGTGTGTGTGTGTTTTATTGCCTGCAGTGTCTCTGGCCTCTTTAGGGAGCGCTGCTGATGAGGAATGCAAGAATGGAACGAGACCCGCTTCGGTAACAGTTTAATTTTCATTGTACAATTGGAAACATATGTTGTGTGTCGGTTCATAAACAAAAGCAAGTATTTCGAGCAGTCCACTCTTTTAGTAACATGTTTTCTGGAGAACACAAAATGAACAAATACTTGCATGAAAAAAAAAAAATCCGAAGACAGCTAAGCACTTCATATGAGTTGTGAATGTTAAAGCATGAATTTCGTTCTTCCGCTCCCTTAGTTCGTCTGCGGCGTAGTGGCGTGGTCAGTCACGTTTCGCCGGCGGACGGTCGAGCACGCGCTTTCGAGAAATGGCCGCGTCGCGCTGAGCTCAGCCCCAGTACACCATTCCAACGGATTGCCCGGGCGTGCTCTGTTGGCTCTGCCGCCACAGCTACCGGCGGGTGCGCCGCTGCGTGCGCTGCGCCGCCGTGGAGAAGGTTTCTCAATTGGCTTTTTTTTGGAATTACGCCGCACGAGAGCCGATGGGAGCCTCGTTCCTTGATGACGCGCGCCAGCCAATGGGAGTGTAATTCATCGAAAATCGTCATCACTTGGGAAAGGGGATTTTAGGTGCCGTTTAGCGAAGGTTTGGTGTGGTTTCAAAGCTGATGACGTCGATTCGCTCCATGGGAGAGTTGATGCTTTCGCATTAAAAACGTTTGATTGCTTTAATTACTAACACGTGATGCACACTGTGTAAATAAATTCTCGTTAATAGTACTTGCAATTTACTATCTTTATTCTTTATGCAGCAAAAGGATCGAGAAGGCTGCGACTTTTACTGCTGGAACGATTCAACCAGTAAATGGGACCGATATTTTTTTGGGGACGGTGAAAAATGCTTTGTGAGTAGCAAACATAATATTGTTAACACGCGTACGGGCTCCCCCGCCTGCGGGTTTTTGTTTTCTCTACATATTCAGCCTCCTTCATCATTTGTCTAATCACTTTTATTTTTAACATGTTCACTGCAGCTGCTATAATAAATTTTATACAAAGAGGTGTTCATGAGGTTTTCTTTAGTTTTTTTAAGGTCAAGTTGATGCCGAAGGTTACCACGTTTTGTTTAATGATTCCCCTGAAAAATAAACCTGGAGATGGTATGGTAGTATCATACTTACCTGGGTTTCATTTCTAGTTTCGGTATCTATATAACTTAATCCAAAATATTGGCGGTGGCTTTTAGAAATCACGAGTCACATTTAAAATATATTAGCTCAAAACACAGCAATATTCTCCTTGCTGGTATCTTGCCGTGTCCTGCAAAATAACTGAGGCTTCAACCGAGGCGTTCCACGCTTTGATGCACACCGTCGGTACAGAAGCAACCGATACCAAACTCAAAAAAGTTAGCAAGGGTGTAGAAATTACATTGCCAGGTGATACGGGGGCGTAACGTGAAACTGTCACGTGACATGACTGGGATGTCACATGGTCAGGTAACTTTATTTGACGTCATAATGTCCCGTGCTATCATGTGACCTAAAAAATTTCAGACCTATCTAGAGAATGAGCTTTTTCCTTATATTTGTCACCAAAGCACCTCCCGGGACGTCAAAGGATGAGGTGACGTTACTTCATATTTTCTTTGTTGAAAGTGCCTGGAAATATTTTTGTTATATATAGCAAGAAACATTTTGCACCATGCTTAGCAGGAAAACGGATAACGCAACATCCCATGGCGTGACGTCATATGACGCTGCTATTGCTCCGCTTAATTTAGCAGATGAATTAAGAGGGATCACGTGACCTTGGGGCTTGGTGGTCAGCCGACGAAATTCCGTGCACCACCTCTGTTCTACCTAAAGCCATCAAATAAGCTCCAATTCAGAATTGCGGCACTTAAGACATCTTAAAATCATCGTTGTCACATTTCTGATGCTGTATCTGAAATAGCGCGAAACGCTTTTTCGCCTCGTATAGCAGTAAGAGCAGTCCAATCAACAGAGCTAATTCCTGAGCTTCTTGAAACCGGATGTTAAGTTCAGGAAGCTGAAATTTAAAAAAAAGTAACTATCTTCCTTTGCGTCCTCTCTGCACTAAGCACCAAAATGGCGGCTCCCACGAGAAACTCGCTTAATGGAGTACTGATACTCCATAAAAATACAAGCAAATTTATTTGCTCTGGCATTTGAAGACATACCAAAGATTTTATGGAATGAGTATGTTAAGCCCACTAGGGTCCAGGAAGCCGAAGTAATTGCTATCTTCGAGTATCTATGGCCCATCTGCTCTTATTGAAACGGATTAAAAAAAAAGTATAACCGTTTCAGAAAACGCGGGCAGTTCAGTGGAGAAAGTTATTACCTGTATTACGACAAGGTAAAGTGCAATGAAAGGTTATGAGACAGGTTGTGCGTTCGGAGGCTAAAAACAAAGTTCATAAATTGATGCTAACTGCTGTAAAGTGAACCGATTTTTCTTTTTAAGTTAAAAACTGCGTTTTCAATAAGTTCAAAAATAGGTAAAGTATCTCCTCGGGCAAATACAAAGGCGAAATATTCAAAATATTTGAGGAAGATAACCTCGTGAACCACTTGAGCATACTCGTGAAGAAAACAAAGTGTACAACGTCGACGCTGAAACCTATATGGCCATATCAAAAAATGCTAGAGTTCTCTGTAATTATAGTTGTGTAAAACTAGTGAAAGGCGTGTTAATTTTTTGCATATTGCTAGGTATTTCTTTTCTTATACTCGTATACCTTTTGTTCAATAAATGAATAAATTAGACACTTTTACTTCGAATAAAGCAATTAGTTATCGTGTGTATGCACGCTCTACTTGGTCGGATTGTGTATGCCGCACAACAAAATTAATTAAAGAATTTAAGCAAGAGTAGTTTGAGTCAAATCGCCCAATACGGTAACACGTACCGTTTTGCGCTAATATCGATTTGTTGGCTAGCAGCAGCACAGACCTTTCTTGTCAGAATAACATTGCATTTCAATCTTAGAAGAAAGATGAAGTGTATAATATTTACTATTTTCTTAGCACCATTACTGCATGTTATATCCCAGGCACAGTTTAAACTCGATACTTTTTTCTACTATTTTTCCCACAGTACAAGGAAGGCAATTTACAGGGAGTTTGTAAAGACGGAAATTGCTATTTGAATGACACGCCCCAGGATAAGCCGAAAATCACTGATGATGGTGATGGTGATGATGAGGAGGAGGAGGAAGAGGAGGAGGAGGAGGAGGAGGAGGAGGAGGAGGAAGAGGAGGAGGAGGAGGAGGAGGAGGAGAATGAGGAGGAGGAGGAGGAGGCAAGAGGAAGGTAGAAATCGAAGAAGAATAAGGAGGAGAGGAGAGAAATCAAGCACAAGAAAAACAAAAATAAAAAAGGAAGATAACTTCCTATTAAAAGAACTGAATCTAAACGATGCTTAATAAACTTGACAAAAAGCAAGTTTCTTCTGAGTACCGTGTTTAAAGCGTCAATTTTTTTAAGCTTGTTATTCTTACAATAACGATGCTTAAAAAACTTGACAAAGAGCAAGTTTTTTTAAACTTGTTGTTTTTACAATTTATGTTTAAAAATTTCCTGTCTTACTTCACTCCTTTTGGTTGTAGCCTATTTTTGACTGCTGTGAATTATTATTACAAGCGAGCTTTTGTACAGCAGTTCTTAAGCCTTGGTGCTATGACAGAACGCTTAAACTTTACCAAGTTACTATGGCACAGGGCTTCCTGACTTTGGAGAGGCGTTTATTCGTGATCTCATAAAACATTTACAATATTTACTATTCCAAGCATGCTGCTCTGAATTTAAGCCGGAAAAGCTTTCGCTTGTTTTATACTCTGTCACCACGTAATGATACGCTTGCTCATAAAATATGAATTTAAAGGTGACGTAGCACAGGGAAACCCCTCAATACGAGCCCAAGAAAGACAAAGGCAGCCTTTGTCTCCACTGCACTCGTAGAATGCTTTCGATTGCGAAATCCAAACGGCGGACTCCGGCCTTCATCGTTGCATTGGAGATAAAGGCAGCTATAGTATAGCTTTAGGTGTACCCACTAATCGAACCAACCAGAGCTCGGCGTTCTGACGGCCTCGTGCGCTCCCCTCTCCACCCCTATCTTACTTTTTCGGCGAATACAATATTCATGCGATGCGTATTTTTTTCCTTTAATTTCGGACCAAAAAATTTTAGAAATAGGTTGTGGGGAAAACGTCTTTCCCGCATCTCTATCTAGGTCTAGCTCAGGCAGGCCGTGATCTGTTGCCATGTCGCGGTACGTCCCGAATGCAAGGCGAGGCAGTACGTATGGACCATTTACGGCTTACAAACATCTACTGCTTCTTGCGTCCCAAGCGACTTCCCGTCGCTCCTTCTGTGCAAGCCTGTCGAGCTTGGATATGTCACCAGTACTAGAAAGCATGAATGTCAGACGGACAACAAAGTTGGATATTACGGAGAGGGCGTGCGGCTGTATGATTGAACGTCTCGGAGAAGAGAAGTTTTTTTACAAGAATACTCGAAAATTGTAAACCAATCTCGTGCTTCTAAATGTTTTTTTTTTTTTTTTTGCGTCTGTTTAGAGTTTTGGTGGTTAAATGTTTCATGGACACTTCTAGCAGCAGTGTAAACGGGGGCTTTTTTAATTTTTTTATGAACCGGAAGTTTGCTGGGACGTCAAGCACTAGAGCACCACCTGGTGGCGTTTGCAAGGAAAAGAGTCATTCCCTTATGGACGGCTTTCCCTCGCCCTTCTCGGTTAACTTGCCCCCAGCACACCCTTCGAAGTCTTGAAACTTGGACGCCTTGGCATCTCCTGGGTGGGAACGAACGTAGTTCCGACAAATCGGGCGCGTCCATTCCCGCAGGCTATTCGCAAGTTCCAGCGAAGATAGAGGGTGCTGACTAAATCAAAGATGGCGGCCAAGAGGGTAATTAGTTCGCAGTGGGCATCACAATTCATTGAACTCGAAGTGCTTTGCGACAGGTCATACTGTGCGATCGACTTTAGTATCCTATTAGTTCGTTCCTTGAGATGAACGGGCAGCTAGTCAACATATGAAAACATCTTATAGCTGCAGGCCACCCAACGGGAAAATGGCACCCGCACGGTGCCGATTTTGTGCTTGGATTTTATACGGTCGAAATGCGGATCGTGTCGCCGTGGGCACTGGGTTTCACTTTCAGCAAGACGAGTTTACCGAAGCTTCCGACACAAAAGTGTGATGCTATGGGCAGTCGATTTTCCTTTTATGACGCACGGGCAGCCAGCACATTTGAGGACACCAACCGCTGACTCGTCGCACAACGTAAGCATGAAGCTATTAGCGCAGCGAGCACTTTGATAAGCCGCTATTCATCAGTACGTTTGTGGATACTAAACAAGGCGCCACTGGGTAAAATTCTGTTTGTTTAATGTCACGATTTGTTTCCTGTGGTCAGCGTTGATCGCCAGCAAGAACAGAAGACGACAAGTGATCGGAGACAAATCCAGAGACGGGCGAACGAGTATCGATTAATGACCGTCTTGGGTAAAAGCCTCAGACGTTCGGAAACATCGAACCAGACTAACGGGCTAATATTATCTCAGTTTCCTGAACATCGTTCAAATCTTCAGTTTATTTTGTTTACACTGATATGACAATACGGTGCACAGAAATTGAGTCGCAACATCGCCACTTTGCAGCAACAAACAGCACTACAGAAGCACCGAATCACATATTTTGCTCGGTAGCACAAACATTTTATGCATTACGCACGGCCAAACTATGCACTCATATGCAATTCTTTTACGCTGGTTCAAAACTAAAGAGGAATTAATCCTTAAATTTATGACACTTCATTTGACGTGAAACAGCACCATTTCAATTCGTTAGGGGGTTATTTTTGCGATGCTTGGAATTTAGAGAACTCAAGGCGCAGCAGCGATAGCACTTCGACCAATAGGTCTCTACACTCCTCATGCACATTAGAAAAAAAACAGCCTAATGAAACAATACCGTCAATTGTGAATTGCATTCAATGAAACAGGCCAGCTGCAAAGGTAATCATGCAAAAACTTTCGGGCAGAAGCGATGGAGCAGAGTTGGCAGAATCCTTATGCGCGCGCGCGAAAACCACGATTAGGCCTATTATGCACGTGGTGTATTTACTTTATTATATCCAAGATAAAGGAACGGTTAATTCTCCTTTGTTGCCAGAATAGTTCTTCGGATTCTACACGCATGGGATCACTTGTCGACCCTCCATCCATCGTGACAACTTTCGTTTCGGGCTAGTGGTATCTCGGCAAGCGGGGAGCACTGACGATGGTAGCATCCACTTTTGCGCTTTTACGGTCATTGTCACCACCGAAGACGGCTTCATGAGAATCATCCAACCACCGAGCACACACAGACAATGAAGAAGATGTTCTCAGTGTCCAAGTGGGAGCGAAGCTTCTTGGGGGGAAGGAACCCATGCCACTGGACAGGCGGAACGATCACCGCCGAGCGGCGGATTCCGATGAGCGGACGCAGGCCGTGCTTTCTTCGACGTCTTGTTGCCGCGTGGGGTTTAGTGGCATATCTCCTTGCCCGTTTATCGTACAATCGACGCCTAATAGTTCTGGCGGTGTGTGTTTACTTCCGTCACATACGTTGCGATCCTACACTCTTAACGGCGTACCCCCTATGGCTATTTATAGATGAATGAAACTTGTATATTAGAAGTTACGGGCGTCGTTCTTAAAGGTTTCATGCATTTTCCGTCGCATTAGAGGTTAAAACGGTGTTTCTTTTTTTGTCTAAAACCATATTTAGAGTAGCTGTTACGTTGCGACTCTTGCGTTGTAACCACTAAAATGTAACCTTGGACAAGAACGGGTAACCAGTACACGATTGATACGATTGTTTATTTTTTTTCCTCCCAAAAAGGGAACTTGGAAAGAGAGAGGGGGAGAGAGCCAGGGCAACACCTCCTTGAGAAGAAGGCCGTAGTGCTCAGAGTGGTTACGTGACAATGTCGGAGGAAGGAAGGCCATGGCGCAACTACGTGAGAAAATCTCTCGTATCGACGTGAAAAAAATGTTCCTTGTCGAGCGGCACGGTAGTGTTCGTGCGCGTTTATCCTACATTATTATACGTTTCAAAGGCGCAGTCTTGTACAATTTATTATATATATAATATAAACGTAATGTGCAACGTGTTCCCAAGGTTGAAAGTACCAATTTTATATTTATGTGTATCCCTGTAACAGCGGGACTACGTGTAGTCCCGCAGCTCCCCACACTCTTCGAATGAACCGGCTCCGATGCGACATCTCCCTCATACGGACTCCAATTCCGGGAAATTAACGTTGTGTGTGAGCTGCTGACTGTCTGAAAAGGAACGCTGAGACATTTAACAAGGGAAGGGAACAAAAAAATAACCCAGTCATCGCCGCAAGGAGCGCACACGAGCAAGAGATGGGACGACAACGTTAAGCCTTTCGTCGCCGCTGCTCTCGTGTGTGATACTTTTGAGACTTGTTTCCTTCCTCCCGTCGTATTTCTGTTGTCACCGCAGTCTCAGGTAGATTTTTTTTTTCTTTTTTTTTGTGTTTGTTTGATACTACGGCCATTACGTGGATTCGTAGAACAAGTCCTGATACGGTTTGAGTGACATGTGTGACGACTAGCCAACGATGACTCTGGTCGATTTTCGATACACCTCTCTCTCGACAGAGAGAGACTTCTTGGATTTCGTGTTCAAATATTTCCGTCGCGGATATTGTGGGGCGTATGGATAAAATCGACAGGTGAGAAATAACTTATTCACGGGCTTTCTTGGTCATGTAGGTTGTGAGTAAAGTGCTGCAGCGGATTTTTTTTAATTCTCGTGATAGAGTGGAATTTTGTTCTTTGTCGTTATCCGTTTTCTATTGCGTCGACATTTGTAAATATGTTTGATAATCTAGTTTTCACTGGAAGGTGAAAAACAAGTTTGTGTGATTATTGAAAGTGCGTTGTTGGTGCTTTTGTGTTTATTTTAAGTATACTTTGTCTCACCCTACGATGGACTAAAGGCAAAAACTACGAACCACCAGATCCAATCACAAGTCACTTAGAAATAGTGCTGTATTTGGCCTCGATGCACGTATCGGGTGCTGCGTCTCGGATCACTAATGAGGGGACGGGTGGAGAGTGGTTCGACTTGAAGAGCACTGAGTGACTCAACAGTTTTAATCGCAAAGAAAGCCACGACATAGAGACTCTTTGCAGCGTCGAGGCTACAGAAATGACGCGGCGCTTTTGGTTTCAAGCATTATTCGTCCACCCCTAATCAATGTTAAGCGGGTCAT